GTTTGTCCATCACCATATACATGTCTCCCTTCACCCCTTGTGCCTACCCCTCATTGCCCCTGGTAACCACCATACAGTTTTCTCTGTCTATGTGTTGTTTTATATTCCACATATGAATGAGATCATACGGTGTTTGTCTTTCTCTTTCTGGCTTATTTCACTTAACATAATACCCTCCAGGTCCATCCATGTTGTTACAAATGGGACGATTTTGCCTTTTTTTGTGGCTGAGTAGTATTCCAATCATCTTCTTGATCCAATCATCAGTTGAGGAACACTTGGGTTGCTTCCACTTCTTGGCTATAGTGAATAATGCTGCAATGAACATAGGGGTGCATAAGCCTCTTTGATTGTTGATTTCAGGTTCGTTGGATAGATTCCCAGTAGTGGGATAGCTGGATCATAGGGTATTTCTATTTTTAATTTTTTGAGGAATCTCCATACCGTTTTCCATAGAGTCTGCACCAGTTTGCATTCCCATCAGCTGTGTATGAGGGTTCCTATTTCTCCACATCCTCTCCAACATTTGTTGTTTTTTGTCTTGGTGATTATAGCCATTCTAACAGGCGTGAGGTGATATCTTAATGTTATTTTGATTTGCATTTCCCTGATGATTAGTGATGTTGAACATCTTTTCATGTGCCTATTGGCCATCTGTATATCTTTTTCGGAGAAGTGTCTGTTCATTTCCTCTGACCATTTTTTGACCAGGTTGTTTGTTTTTTTGTTGTTCAGTTATGTGAGTTCTTTATATATTATGGAGATTAACCCCTTGTCAGATATATGTTTTGCAAATATTTTCTCCCAGCTGGTGGGTTGTCTGTTCATTTTGATTCTGGTTTCATTTGTCTTGTAGAAGCTCTTTAATCTGGTAAAGTCCCACTTGCTTATTTTTTCTTTAGTTTCCCTAGTCTGAGTAGGCATGGCATCTGGAAAGATTCCTTTATGATCAATGTCATATAGTATGTTGCCTATATTTTCTTCTATGAGTTTTATAGTTTCAGGTCTCACCTTCAGATCTTTGATCCATTTTGAGTTAATTTTTGTGAATGGCGATAGCAAATGGTCCACTTTCATTCTTTTGCATGTGGCTGTCCAGTTTTCCCAACACCATTTACTGAAGAGACTTTCCTTTCTCCATTGTATGTTCTTAGCTCCACCATTCTCCTTTTGAAAACTCGTATACTCGTCTCTAAACTTAGAAGATATGGAACTGGATCTTATCATTTTCTCTCTGGTGTTTAGCATTTTTTTGGCATCTGTGCCTGTTAAGGTAGACAGTAAATATTTATTCCCTGAAAGAGGGTAAAACTAGGAGTTTAATGCTAGGAGAGATCACTTCTGACTTGGAAGAGCATGAAAGACTTCATAAAAGAAGGGTCACATGAGAGGAGCTGTGAAAAGAGGTGTAGAACTGGTTTTATGGAAATGAGTGAGAGCATTTCAGACAAGGGGGATTGAACAAAAGCAGAGGCAGGAACGTTGGTATGTATTCCAGGAATACTTGGGCAAAAACAATAGACTGTGTGAAGTGCGAGAAAGCTTAGAAAACTTGCCCATGTTCAGTCAGATTGTGAATACCCTTGACTGCCATTGTATGGAATTTGAAATTTATTTGTAGGTGGTAGAGAACCACTGAAAAATTTTGATTGTGGCATAACTTGATTCATCTCTCAGCAACTTGATATATCTGTCAATGTATAGGTAAGATGATGAGTAGGTAGAAAGTAGAGACGGGGACGTCAGGTAAAATTAGGACATTAGATACAATTAGAGTCTAAATTGGAGTGACAGTGAAGAAAGAGAGTTGATGCCAGAGATAATTTTAGAGGTAAACTCAACAAGCCTTGGCCTCTCTTATTTTAAATATCCCATTCTTTGTTTTAAAGTGGTAACTATGTTCCTAATGAAGAGATAGTGCTAGCAAAAATGAATGTTTTGACATGCTAATATTCCTCCCTTTGCAATTGAATTGCCTTGGCATTTATAGAAAATAATGAAGTAAAGTTAATTGGATATCATTTTGATAATAAAAACGTAGTTAAGTGATTGATTTTGGAGGTTTATTTCATGTAAGCATTAATTGTAGATTAGAGACGTATCCAAAGAGAGAACAAGATATTAATTTCAACTTTATGTTTCTGTAATGGTTTATATAGGCATTTTATGCTTTCTTTCCCATTTATTAATTCAGACGTAGAAGAGGCTGAGCTATGGCACACTGAATGCTATTTTCGATTTCACTAGGAATCAGTATATGATACGTTGATGCACTGCTTAATACAAGGAGAAGAAACTTAGCCTCAATATTAAAAATGAAGGGTATTCTCCTTGTTATCTTGTGAGCTGCCCTTATCAGAGTATTTGAGTGTTTTATTTTAGCAGGTTTTAGCTGACAGCAAAAAATAATACCATCATCAATGTTGTTTTATGTTGCTACTTTTCAGTTTTAGGAGATAGAAAATGATTGTGATTTATTTAGTTATCTTTGTATATTATCTGTAGATCAAGTGGATTAGTCACATCACTGTTGATATCATTTCTCTTGAGTTTGTTGAACTTATATTTCTTATAGTGTTTGCTTTATGTAGGCTTCAGCTTTGGAAGCTCATTTGGATTATTTTAAAAGATTTCTGATTAAGATGGCTGAGTAAAGACATTTGTGCCCTCTTCTGTCTGAAATTACCCTGAAACAACGAGAATGAGAGACAGAGTTGTAATTACATCTTCAGTGAGACTGTATGTCCTGTAACCCCAAATCGAAATGTTTGAGAAATTGTTGTCAAATGTAAGCAGGAAGAGATTAAAAGAGGGTGCTGGTAGAAAGAGGTCTCAGATAGAGCTGGCAGAGCAATGAGAGATAGATGGTCTGTTTACAGTGGGATCAGGATACATAGGAACTATGGCAGCAGAAGCTTCCTTGGATTGTTAGGCCGCATGAACTAGCAGGAAAAGACGAGCACATGAGTAAACACACAGATACGCCATCTTTGCAGGAAGCACTCTTGGTGAGGCAGGAAATAATGGCTAAACAATTTTCTCTCACTTGTTTTGACACACATTCTTTGTCTCTTTCTCACACATGCACATGCACAAAAGAATCTTTCTTAAAGAGCTTTCTTGTATTCCAGAGAGACTACCCTCTAGTGCAGAACACAGCCTTGTTTCTTCCTTCCACAGTCCTCTTGCAAATACTGATCTGAGTGGAGTTCACGTCATTCAAAGATAAATAATAATAAAAAGGAAATGAGCACAGTATCTACAAAAAATTCAACAAGAAGAAGGAAAAAAGAAACAAGGAAAAACAAGTGACGAAGAACCCATGAGAAAACTATATTGACCTAACAAATTTAACAAAATAATCACTTCTTCAGAATCATAGACAAAGTTAATTGGTCCAAGAACCAGGAAGAAATAGTAAGAGAACAGTATATGGTGAATCATAATCTGACAGAGCTCAAGAAAGAAAACTAAAATCAGAGAAATAAAAGGCCACATTGGAAGCATAAAAGGAGAATTAACATGGTTGAAAACTCAGTAAAGGACATGATGACAGACTGTTGAAAGTTGAACAAAGTGAAATGGGAATGAAAGGAGATGAAACAAATGCTTAAGTGTAGCTCTGGAAATAGAGGATTCAACATTAGAACAGAAAAATATGCAAACATATAACTTAAGAAAACTTCCCACAAAGAAAAGAAATCTTGATTCTATAGATTGAAAGGGCACGTAATGAGAAAAAACCAATACACAGTCATCAACATCATTATATAACCTAGTTTTTTTAAAAAATTGGATGTCAAAGGTGAGGAATGTATTCTTTGCTCATCCTATTAAAAAGATTATCTTACCTATAGGGGAGTGCAGTGGGGGGATCAGATATTGTCAAGGGAATATTTAGCATTACAGGACAATGGTACAAAGCCTCTAAGTCGTCCGGGGAAATAAATTGTGACCTCATAGCCAAACTATCAATTGACAACCATTTTTGAACAGTCCAAGAACTCAAGGTAGATGGTACTCAAAGTTCTTTTTGATAAACTATGAGAAGATGAATATCAGCCATCCAGTGGATGAACAGAGATGATACTGCAAAAGGATTGGCAGGGAACATTGTAGGAATAAGACAACAATAACTGAGATTTGTAGTTACAGAGTAAAATAGAACTATAACATGGTAGAAATAACTAATAAAAGTCAAGATTGAATGAAGAGAGAAGGCAGGCAGTCGTATAAATTTGCTAATTTCTTATTTTATAGCTGGAGAACAAAAGGCATAAAGTTCAGACATGAGGTAATAGAGGTGTTAGTGTATTTAAAGGAATAAGGATAAACATTTGAAGAACTAATTACCATATGTTTAACCAAAATCAAACAGTGGAGAGGAGGTAAGAAGAAGGAGAACTATATTAAATTTCTTGTCCTAAAGAAATAATGCGAGATGGGACCAAAGATGAAAGAACAACAATTTTCATCATGGCATTCTTTATTTACGCTTGCAAGAAACAGAAAACATACATGGGGTGTTTATAAAAACTCATCACATCCTAGATCACACCAAAAAAAATTTCAAAAAACAATAAAGAACTATCATACAGATGGTGTTCCTTGACCAAAAACTTTCTGGCTTTCTTCCATGGAGGCGGTTCTGAGTATGGTCAGCAGCAGCATCGCCTGGGAACTTGTCAGAAATGCCAGTTCAGAGACCCCACACCAGACCTACTGAATCAGAAACGGGGGGAAAAAATCTCTGTTGGTCAGTTTTTATTAATATCCCCTTTATATTTCAGTTTTTTGCGAGTGTGAAGAATGCCGTGATAAACATTTTTATTCTTTCATTTTTGGTCTCATACCTGGTTATTTCTTTAGGACAGGAAATTACCAAATCAAAGAATGTTCTGTAGAACTTTAGATAACTTTTTCTTTGTTCTGTTGTTGGTTATTAGAGGTGAAAAATTAAAAATGGGTTTTGTCTCTTTTGAAATACCGTTTTTGTTCACAGAAAACAAGATTATCTGCTCATCCAAAAAGATGCAACCGACTGGGTTCCTTTCACAAGACAACCACGTGAGCACCGCAGACTGATGAGTAGAATCAATAAGAACGTGATTTTGGCGCTTTTAACTTTGACAAGCTCTGCGTTTCTGCTGTTTCAATTGTACTACTACAAGCGCTATTTATCAGCAAAGGTAATTTTTTTCTCTTTTCTCATCATGAGGCTTCATTTTAGCTGTATACTTTCCTAACATACTTCCCTTTTGCAGTACATAAAATTAATCACAGTTTTTCAAATCCTTACAGAAAAATTTCTTACTGAGATTCTTTTTTTGTGGGGTGGGGCAAGCAATTCAAAATTGTTAAATGTTATTATAATACACTGAAAGTCAAAGGTGCTGAGTTTCACTGATGTTTAATCTATTGAAATTTTCTGATATAGTTATGTAAAAATTGTTATTCTTCTAAACAGATCATCCCTCATTTAAAAGAACTCAATGATAAATAACTTTGATACAATATCAAAATTAGTTTATTTTAGTACAATATATATTTTAATTTAGTATCTATCAGGGAAGTGTAAGGGTATAACTTACCTTTATTATAAATCTATAGGTATAAAGGTGTAGAGACAATGGTTTGGAAACTAATAGCTTCTGAAGATCACACAATATATTTCTGTGGTCCAGATGAGAAAGTCCAAAGTTGAGAAGGCATTCCTAAATTGTGAAAGGTTGCCCAACACTCCTACTGGGGTTTATTATTATAATAACTACCATTATTAAGAACTGTGCTAGATGCTTCCATGCTTGATTTAATCCTAAAAACAACCCTGGGGAAAAATATGTTTTTTGTTTTTGTTTTTTAATCTTCATTTGATAGTTAGAACTATTCTTCAGAAATAGTTACTTCCCTCTCCCTCCCACTAAAGGGGAGGATGCTTCCCTGCTGTAGTTGGGCTTCACCACAAGACTTAGTTTGGCTGGTAAAATGTTATGGACATCTGCAGAGACTTCAGATGGGCTCTTATAATTTGACTCGCTCTTTGTGCTGCCCTGACCTGCCCGGAGAAGAACATGCTCTGGGTGGATGCTGCCCCTTCAGCCTGGGCCCTGAATGAGATGTATGGAGCAGACCAAAGCATAGCTGCCCAGCTGACTCACGGCTCTGTGAGGGGGAAAATAAATGCTTGTAAGTCTTCAAGATTGGGGGAAGTTTATTATGCACCATTGTTACATGGGATCGCTAGACCTCGTTTTACAGTCGAGGAAACCAAAACTCTTAACAGAGATGTAGATAACTTACCTATGCAAATCAACCAGTTTCTAACATGCAGGGCTGACAGTTATACCCAGCTCCATTCCTTCCAGGCTATATTATTTTTAAAATAATTGACAACTACTGAGGTTACCAGCTATCTTAGCTATTTATTCAGTGAATGTGTGACATCTTCAGCCTTTTCCTGATTATTTTCTTAGGATAAAGTCCTAGAGTAGAATTTCTGGGTCTAGTATGCACGTTTTAGATTTTGTCACCTGTTGCAAAGTTACCTTTTATAGGGGTAAGTAGTGTGCCTGATTTCCTATACCCTTTCCAAATGTGGGAATAATAGCAACAATAGCAATAGTAATGGCATCTGTATCAGATAGAGATGCTTGGGGCTGACTAATACTAGCTCAAACAAATAAAGGATCATTTGTGTCTTATACTTTTAAGTCCAGAGCCTCTTAAAATTTCCTTGATGTTTTCCTTGTGCTACAGTCAAGGCTGGAAGAAGAAACAGCACATTCTAGTGGGCTTCTACTTTTGTGACATTAGCTAGCAGATTCCCATCTGTAAAAGAATCTGGGAAAGAGAAGTTTTACTGTTAGTGTTGTTGTTGTTTGTTATTTAGCTTTTCCAGCTTTTATAATAGAGATTGCAAAGGAGAAGGGGTTTGGGAGTGGGTGTTGGACAGTCAACTTACCTACAGTGTTTGCCAGAGCAGCTAACATTTTTTGGTGTGCTTATAGGCTAGGCATTATGCTAAGCACTTTACATACATTTAATTCTAATAAAAACAAATTGAGTAGATCCTGTTGTCCCCCTTTTCCCAGAGAAAAAACTGAGGTTTGGAGAGATTTATTAATTTGTTCATTGTCACAAAATTACTAAGTGGGGACGATAGAATTTAAACCAAGGGAGTCTACCTCAAAAACCCTTGGAAGTATAGATGCTTCCTGTATGTTATTAGTGTGAAGATAAGATACTATCTGTAAGGAATACAAGTAGTTTCTCTATGCCAACAAGAAAAAAAATGCTTTATTTAAAAATAGTAGGGGTAGTTAAACAAATAGATGCTGAAGCTACCAACTTTTAAAATTTTTTCAGTTTTGTTGAGGAAAATGTTTAAACTTTTGGCTTTTTATTAAGTTTCAAGATCTCACTTATATGCAATGTTTTCGAACTCAAACTTCAGGGAAGTATTCTGATATAGTTTCTCCAGATGTAGGAAGAGAACCCAGAATTTTATAAACTTTGTTTATGGATTTATCTAAACTGCATATCTTGTTTTTTCAGTGAACAACATTTTGTGGGATTTTCTTAGATAAATAAAGAAAATTCACACAAATAAAAATGATTTCTACTTCAGTTAAATTTGTTTGATTTGTTAGCAGAAGAGTACAGAATAATAGCCTTGATCAGTACTAAATTATAAGTCAGCATCATCAATATAAAAACCATGATTCTAGGTTGTCCTTGAACTTCAGGATGATTTAGAAAGACACTTGAGATTATGTATTAGAGCCAGGGCAAGGATGAAAAATGGGTTTTATATTTGCCCCACCCCACATCTAATAGTAGTAAATGCCTGCAGTAGTAAATGTTGAGAAGGACTGCAAAGGTTTTCAGCCTCTTCAGGAGAGAGTACTCCAGTATCTGTCATTGGTCAGGGAAGAAGAGGTATTCGCTATCTTGGAATTAAGGAAGCCTACTTTTGTCCATTTCTGGGGCCTCACCACAGAATTCCCTTTTGGCCTTGGCTGGTTAGACAAGTTCAGCCTTTCTATGATCCCCTAAATGAGGTCTGAATAATCTAGTTATCTGATAGCACTGAAGATAAGGAATTAGTATATTATATCTGTTGGGTCTGCTAAAATTCCATAGATGGGTAGAGTTGACTCTTCAGATTCCAGAACAGCCCACCAGGTCTTTGAAATACACTCTGGTAGTGTGGTGGCCTCATGAGCATTTTTTATGGGCTTTTAAGTAATTGGCTTGCAGGTCACACCACAAATGAAAGGACATGTCTCTAGGACCCTCTGGGGAATATTCAGTTGTTCATTGTTTTTTACTGCACTTAACAGGATAGTGTGATTATAATTCTGTGTGCTCATTCAGTCTGTATTTATTGATTATTTATTATATACAGGGCACTTTGCAGGAGTACAGAGATAAATAGAACACAGGTCCTACTCTCAGGGAACTCATAATTTGATAGAAGTAGCAACAGCAGTAGCTCCTGAGTTTGGGGCCTAGATAGTCCTGAGTTTGAATCCTCATTTGGTTGTTTGGCTTTTAGCAAGTCACTTAACTTCTTTGAGCCTCAATTTCTTTAAATGGGGCTGATAGCAACTTTGCTGGTTGAGATAACATATGTAATGCATCTAATGTAGTGTCTGATACATGGTAGATACTCAGAAGATCGTAGCTGTTAATAGCTCACATTTTCTGGTGCTTTTAAGGTTTACATTCGAGTTTGATAAATAAAATCATATTCAATTATAGTATCCTTATGAACTTATAAAGTACTTCAAAAGTATCAGGAGAAAGAATGTCTGATGGTCTAGACACAAGAGGAAGAATGTATTTTGGAGCTTATCAGATGAAAACTGATAATGCTTTCTTCCTGCTGATTCTCTAGACCTGAATTTCTTGTGTGTGTGTGAAGAAGATCAGCCCTGAGCTAACATCTGATGCCAATCCTCCTCTTTTTTCTGAGGAGGACTGGCCCTGAGCTAACATCCGTGCCCATCTTCCTCTATTTTATATGGGATGCCGCCACAGCATGGCTCGACAAGCAATGTGTCGGTGCGCGCCGGGGATCTGAACTGGCAAACCCCGGGCCACCGCAGCAGAGCACGCGCACTTAACGGCTTGCACCACCAGGCCGGCCCCCTAGACCTGAATATTTAAAAAATGTTATTTAAAAAACCCGCAACGTTTGAAATTATGATGTGTTAGGAAAAGTGTGGGCCCTGGAGCTGTCTGCAAAGCAGAAATAATGATGCTTACTTTGTAGGATTGTTATGCAGGATAGATGAGAATACATAATTCATATGTGGAAATGTCAAACACAGTATACTTAGGAGCTGCTCAATAAATATTATTTACTTTCTTATCACTTTGCCAAGGTCTGCAAACACTATCTCAGTGTGTGGAGAAAAGTTGAAGTTAGGGATATGGAACTAAATAGATTAACCCTAATTCCAAAGAGATAGCAAAGAGTTTACTATTCGTTGATGGAAATTAATTAGTTCAGAGATGTTGGCCGTATATATACCTTACTGTTCCATAACTCAATTAACTTACTGCGTTCTGTCACTGTTTTCCATCTTGGGTAGTTATATTGTATAATTGTAGAATTCTTAGCTCATGACTATATGAAAATAGATATTTGGATAATGCTTTTTGATGATTATGAGCCAATGATATAGTTTGAATCTCATGCCTACCCTAAATGTAATGTTGCTTGCTGGGCTTTGAATTTACTAAAATGTTCTTTTGTTATCTTCCTAGAATGGAGCTGGTTTATCAAAATCCAAAGGAAGCCGAATTGGATTTGATAGCATAGAGTGGGTATGTACAATACGCGAGAAATTCCTCAATTGCCATGTTCATTTAGTTCATTTGTTTATTGCTTAGTAAGTGTATGTTGAGTGATGACAATGGTAATAGCTACCTTGGTAGAGGGTGGAGGTAGGTGGTAGAGGGAGAGGAGCAGGCCCTATGCTGCGTGCTTTACATGCAGTGTCTCATTTAGTCCTTATGGAAACTTTAAGTTGGTAAATGTTGTTATCCTCAATTCACTTAGAAAGATTAAGATTAGTTGGCTGATAAGTGTCTGAGTAGACTCTAAGTGTTTGCCTCAGAAACCCTCATTCACTGACCTATGGTGCTTCCCCAAATGAATAAATATGTGAATAAGAATTGAACTATGAGGGGCCAGCCTGGTGGCGTAGCAGTTAAGTTTGCGCGCTCCGCTTCTGTGGCCCGGGGTTTGCAGATTCGGATCCCAGGCGTGGACCTACACACCGCTTATCAAGCCGTGCTGTGGCGGTGTCCCATATAAAGTAGAGGAAGATGGGCACGAATGTTAGCCCAGGGCCAATATTCCTCAGCAAAAAGAGGAGGATTGGCAACGAATGTTAGTTCAGGGCTCATCTTCCTCACAAAAAAGAATTAAACTGTGAATAAGGGAAAATAATGATTAGGAATAAAAATCTGTTCAACATGTTTCCTTTATAACATAAGAGAAACTAGCAATATATACAATATAGCCCTGTTTTGATTTATAAACTTCAGAGCCTACACATTTATAAAATATATTTTACCCTTTTCTAACTAAATTTCGAAGGAAAAACAATCTAGGTTACTAATAAAAAATTACATTTATTCTGTTAGTATACATTTTGGATATGACCAAATACTTCTTGTAGATGCCCTTCAATCTTCGGCTTCTCTTTAACCAGAGACATGAAAGGCTTTAGATTAGAAGTGGGGTTTCAAATCACCAAGCAGCAATAAAGTAGTGATAATTTTAGGTCATTACTGACACCAATTGGATTTGAACTACTGTTTAAAAGGTAAAGTCTGGGATTTCCTATTATCAGACTCCTCAACTCTGAAGTCTAGAAGAATCAATGTGAACTTTAATTTATTAAAAATAGTGGATGTTTTACTCTGTGAACTTAGGGTAGTCTGAGGGGAAAGGGAAGTATGATACACTTGGAATTCGTACTCCCCAGTCACAATTATAAAGACTCTAGTGGATTCAATAAAAAGGCACATTTTGTGCACTTCTCTCTAGCTCTGCTCTGTCACCCTTAAGAAACACACACACATAACACTTGGACCAGATTTATTGTCCTGTGTGTGAAATAATTTCTTGAGATTTGAAATTCACTATTTAACAGCTGGGAAATACACCCGTCTGAACGTAATGGGAGTGCTCTGTCACAAATTTTAACACTCTAAAATGTGATGATACTTACATTAATAATGTAAACTTTTCAAATTTGCCATTTGTTGAGAGTCCTCATGTGTGCACTGAAAGAGCATGTTCAGAAAAAGTTTTAAAGCTGTAATAGCTTCAGTGGGATAGAAGCCTTTACTTTGTCTGGATTAACCGATAACATTCTGACAACATTCTCGAAGCCTGTGGTACATAAAGCAGTCAGTGCGGGTACAGATTCACTGGTATATTTAAAATGGAATTTGTGTATCATTTAAAGCTTAAAATAACAGAGAAAAGTAGAGTGTTCCCATCTTTTTCATTCAAGGAATGACCCTTGACGTGGGAGAAAATAAAGAATTTTTTAAAAAGAGTTTACTTCCAAGGTAAATGAGCAAAAGATGAAAGAGCAGCTTACTACATTCAGTGAGTTCTCTGAAATTATTAATTGTTCAGAAAACAATTAACAATGTAATTGTTAATTACATTTCACGGTACTAAAAATCAATCTTTATAATATTTGTAAAATCATAGGAAAGGGAGGGGCCGGCCCCGTGGCTTAGCGGTTAAGCTCGCGTGCTCCGCTACTGGCGACCCGGGTTCAGATCCCGGGTGCGCACCCAGGCACTGCTTCTCTGGCCATGCTGAGGCCGCATCCCACGTACAGCAGCTGGAAGGATGTGCAGCTGTGACATACAACTATCTACTGGGGCTTTGGGGAAAAAAAAAAAAAAAAAAGGAGGAGGATTGGCAATAGTGTTAGCTCAGAGCAGGTCTCCCTCAGCAAAAAGAGGAGGATTAGCATGGATGTTAGCTCAGGGCTGATCTTCCTCACAAAAAAAACCCGAAAAAACAAAAAACAAAGACTATAGTAGTTAAAAAAAAAATCATAGGAAAGGGAGAAGTACTAAAATACTTTGTTCTGATATTTTTGAAGGAATGAAAGGTGAAATCTGATCAATAAGTGTGATACTGAGCTCTGATAAAATTCCATAATGAGTTATTAAACAGATGACTTGAGCACACTTAGAAAAGAAAATGATGATTAGGAACTAGCCTTTTGTTAAGAACAAGTCCTGCCGAGCCCTTTTAGGTTCCGATAAAATTGTAATACACTGACAGGTGAATAGGCCATTACAGTCTCAGCGTATCCTGTTTTCAACAAGGCATTTTTCTCTCTTGTAAATGAAATGAATTACTGAAGGCCGGATCATAATAGTCATGTTGATTTAGAATTAATTGGATTTAGAGTCAATTGGACATGTGTTTCCAAGGAGCATTGACAATTGCATTGATAACAACCTGGAAGGCATATTTAGAAGGTGAGTTATAGAATCTCTCCTTGACCCTGCCCTAATCTGTATTTATATTAATAATTATAGTGAACCCATAAATGTGTTCATCATGTTTCTATTTAACAGCAAGTTGAAAGAGATTCATTCAACAAACGTTTATTAAGCACCTTATATGTACTAGTGTCTATCTCATCTTCCAAAACCATTTCTTTCTCTTTTATTCTCCTAGGGTAAAGCACAGAAAGCAATAACCATAAAAGAAAAAAAATTTATTAGATTCTCAAAATTTAAAGCAATTGCTCATCAAAAGACACCATTAAGAAAATGAATAGACATGCCGTAGACTAGAAAATATTTGCAAAATATGTATCTGACAGAGGGATAAAGTCAAATACCATATGATCTCACTCATAAATAGAAGATAAAAACAACAACAAACAGTCATATGGAGACAGAGATTGGATTGTGGTTACCAGAGGGGAAGGGGGGAGGGAGGATGGTGAAAGGGATAATTAGGCACATGTGTGTGGTGATAGATTGTAATTAGTTTTTGGATGGTGAACATGATGTAATCTATGCAGAAATAGAAGCATAATGATGTACACCTGAAATTTATATAATGTTATAAACCAGTGTTACCACAATAAAAAAAATATGTATCTGACAAGACTGGTATCAAGGATAAATAAACAACTACAATTCAATAATAGATTTTTTGTTCATACTCTTAATCAAATTGAGGAAGTATCCTATTCCTGGTTTGCTGAGAGTTTTTAATCATGAATAAGTATTAAATTTTGTCAAATACTTTTTCTGTATTGAAATTATCATAGATTTTTCCCCCTTTATTCTTTGACATGATGAATTTCTTTGATTTTCAAATGCTACCTTTCTTTCCTGGGATAAACCCTACTTGGTCATAATACTTTTTTTAAATTACTGGCGTTAATCTTCTAGTATGTTGTTAAGTGTTTTTACATCTATGTTCATGAGGGTTGGTGGTCTATAATGTCCTTTTGTAATGTCTGTCAAGTTTTGCTGTTAGGATTACACTGGCCTCATAAAATGAGTTAGGAAGGATTTCCTCCTCCTCAGTTTTCTGAGAGAGTTTTTGTAGAATTGGTATTATTTCTTCCTTAGATCTTTGATGGAATTCAGTAATGAACCATCTGAGTCTGGAGTTTTTTCTTATTGTTGTCGTTTTGAGGGCAGGCTGTTTTGTTTTTTTTAATAACAAATTCAATTTTGTTAATAGGTATAGGGCAATTCAGATTTCCTGTTTCAACTTGTGATAGTTTTGTTAATTGTATTTTTTTAAAAATTTGTCCATTTCATCTAAAGTTGTAGAATTTTTTGGCATAAAGTTATTTATTCTAACTAACTTTTTACTTAGCTGTCTCTCTCACTAAGAGATAATAAACCCCTCTAGAGCAGAGATTATTGTATTCTTGGCGTATGCATAATACTCTACACTAAAAACAAATGAGACATTGATTCCTAGCTTTATCTCATTTTTTTCTATCTTTATAATTCTTGATATCCTTGTCTATTTATTTATTATTTGTATATGTTTTTCTGAAGTTCCTTCAGATTTTGTGAATAAGAATTTATCCTTAAGTCCATGAAGCACCTTTTTGATGGACATACATCCCTTTGAAATCATAATTGCTTTCATTGAAGTAGGCTTTTAAGCAATAATGTATACCAATTATTCTATTTATCTTTGCTACTCTTAAGTATTATTTACTCCTAAGTGTAATTTAGTTTGTTTCCACTCTAATTTTGAAATTTTTTTTTTTTGGTAGAGGACTCTACTTACTGTCCTGCAGAATTGTATTGAAAAATATTGCAATATTATTAGAAAATCAAACTATATATGGGAATGGTCAAACAGACAATGTATTTTAGTTTGAGTCTTTTGCTTAGAAAAATTATTAAACAGTATTACAAATAGGAAGAAAAGTGGCACATAAAATTGATTTTTGGTTTTGAAAAGGTTGACACGATTGATTTTTAAAAGCTGACAGATCTGGTATTTCTTCTCGTACTTTTGCTTGAAAAGATTTAGCTAATACCAAGGGAATAATTTGCAAGCCTAAAGTTGTCATCTCTGATACCATTTTCTCTTTGAAGATTTTCTTTTTTGATGTATGGTTAATCAGTAGCTTACTGTTACTTTATAATATGTTGCATATATTTTTACTGTAGCATATTTTACCTTATATTGTAAATATTTGTTCATCTTTCTCAGTAGACTGTGTATTTCTTAAGAGCAGGGACTGTGTATTATTTATTAGTTTGTTTTTTAGCACAATAATAAGGATGGTATCTGTTGAGTAAACACTCTATATATTCTCATAAAATTAATGGATAAAAATTTAATAAGATAGATTGTTGTACTGGTTTAGTAGAATTAAGGGAATTTTTTTCCTCTCAAACAGCGTGCAGTCAAAAAATTTATTATGCTAACATCCACTCAAAATGTACCGGTGTTCCTTATTGATCCTTTGATTCTGGAATTGATTAATAAAAACTTTGAACAAGTCAAAAATACTTCTCATGGCTCCACTTCAGAATGCAAGTTTCTTTGTGCTCCAAGAGACTTTACTGTGTTTGCACTACAGTATCACCTGTGGAAGAATGAGGTAAGAGGATTTGCTTTCGGAAAATGGAACGTGTCTTTTACAAAATAGTATGGGATTAAACCAGTTTAAAATATAAAACATTTAAAAATTTTCTTAAAATTTTTTATAAATTGTATCAGGAATATTTTCAGCTATAAGTAACAGAACAGAATTAATAATGGCTTAAGCAAATAGAGGATTTGTTTTTCTTGTATAACAAGAGGTTAAAAGGTTGATATTAGTTCAGCTGCCCACTAATGTCAGGGCTTACATCACTGAAGTTCTTTTTTCACATCCCTCATCATTGCAAGGTAGCTGTCATAGCTCCCAGGCATAATATCCATCTTCAGGGCAGGAAGATGAGAGGAAGGGATGGTGACACTATCTATCCTTTGAAGGAAAGTTTTCTCAGAAGCTTCTGGTAAACAGCCAATAGTTCGCTGTCCAGAACTGTATTCCTATGTCTCCTTGTTGTAAAGGAGGCTAAAAAGACAGGTATTTAGTACTTCAATCAGTGTAAGCAGGCAAGTAGGAAGGGATTTGGTGATGAATTTCTGGTATCTGCCACATAAGGTATATGTGAGGGTAGTCTCCCTAGTCTGTCGCACTGTTCTTTCCACTTTGGAAGTGCACAGTACTTGTTTGATAGTCGAGTAGAGTGCTTCTTAGGTGTATCCAAAAATTCAAACTTATATTTCCATCCTGCTTAGTGGTTACAGGCACAAGTCAGACAGTAGTTAAAAAAAAAAAAAAATTCTCAACCAAATATGTCAAAAATTTGTTTACTTCTTTAGTTGGAATACATCTAACTTCCCAATTTCACTATTTTTAATTCTGAAGTTATTCAAGTAAGAGTAAGAAAATTAGCATCAGATTAAATGAACGCACTAGTTAGTTAGCCCCCCGTGATAGATGAACACTAGTTCTGCAGTGGGATCTGTTTTCATTGTGTTGACCCTACCGGGGGGGCTTACACTCCGGGGTGATGGTGTGGTCTTGGAAAGCAGCGTGAGCTGCACGTCTCCTTGACTGCCCCAGACTCTTAAGCAGGGCCTCAAGAGAATGGGCTTTGACTTTTTTCTGGCCTATGGCTCTTTCCGGACAGTGATGCAGGTGATGAAGCAGATGATGTGTATATATAAGTACAAGATTTTTGTTTGCTTACTTGTGTTTTCTTTCCTCCCAGTTTTATATTTTGAAAATATTTAAACTTATGGAAAAGTTAGGACATGGTATTTTAAATTTAATTTTTATTTTTCATCAAAATAATACTAGTACTAAGTTTAAAAAGTCAGATAGTAATGCAATGCTCACAATGAAAAAGGGCAGCATCTGCCTTTCCCCTCCCCACCCCTATTCCCGCTTCTAGAGCCAGCCGCTCTCAACTGCCTCTACCCTGTTTATCTTCTCATTTATAAATGAAATGTTTATACTTCTCTTTTTTAAGGTTTCATATTTAGATTATGAGTTATGAGAATTTAGCTCTTGTATCCATTTTGGCTCATACATATACACACGCACGCACATGCGTGCGCGCGCACACACACACACACACACACACTCTTATTGTCATCCTAAGATGACTGTATCACATTTTGTAGTTAAATCAGTGTTTACCTTATTATGAGTATATAGATAATCACATGGATGCTACCTACTTTACACTGATTATATTCTTCTTCTTATACAACTCTTTTTTCTCTGTTTTTGTTTGCTAGTTTTCTATATATTTATCAATAATCTATCTATGAACTCTGCAACAAAAACATAAACCTCTTGGTAGGATCTCACACATCAGATAATCTCTTAGTTCCATTTTTTTTTTCCTTGGGGACATCCCTCCTAGAGCTGTTGGTCTTTCTGCCCTAGTACAGGCCGATCTGCTGAGCAGATACTGTTCTGTAACTCCCCTTCACAACATTTTAGGAATTCCCTTCTGAGAAAGGGTCAATGGGAGGTTGAAACTTTGCATATCTGAATATCTTTCTTTTTACCTGCACATTTCATATCTAATTTGGCATATATAGCAGTTAGCTTCTGCTGTGTAACAAATCACCCCAAAATTTAGTGGCTTAAAACAATAGCCATTTATTTAGCTCATGATTCTGTGACTTAGCAACTTCATAGGATTCAGCTGGGCAGTTCTTCTGGTCTCAGCTAAGCTCCCTTATGCAGCTGCCAGTCAGGTGGCAGCTCTGCTGCTTTTTACATGGTTGGCTGTCAGGGGGCAGTGGAGGTGCCTGGGCCATGTGTCTCTCATCATCCAGGCTAGTCCAGGCTAGTCCAAGAAAGCAACATGCAAGGTCTCTTGACATTGTTAAAGTGGTAAGATTTCTTATCAATGAACATGACATTTTCAGGTGTCCTTTGATATTCTTTAATAGAATATTCTAATTTTTTTTTTTTTTTTTTTTTACAGATTTTATGCACCTTTAGTAAGATTTACTTCTTGCTACCTTATAGTTTTGTGTGTGTATGTGGGGGGACGGGGGTTAATGGGGATATTTTTCCTCTTCTATTTCCAACTCATTATTATAGGTTAATGAGAATGCTATTGACTTTTGTATTTTGATCTTGTTTCCCAGCAGCTGTACTGAACTCTGAACTCTAAAAATAAACTCAAATAGTTTCTCCCTCCTCCCTCCCCTCCCCACTCTCTTTCCTTCCCTCTCACTTTCTTTTTCTCTCTCTCTTTCTCTCTTTGAGTATAGGTCATTGTATTCTCTGCACAAAAAGACAGTTTGGCCTCTTCCTTTCCAACTCTTAAACCTAATTTCTTCTTCTTGTCTTATTGATTTGCATAGAACCCACAGGATAGTATTGAATAAAAATGTTCTTTCTTTCTGAGCTTTTTATTACTTGGATGTTAGACTTTCAGAATTCATCCTTTCATTTTCTTATCTTTGCTCTGTATTTTTCCATCTATTTTTTTAACTGTTCTACTTTTAAACAAAATCTTGAACAATGCCATTGATTTTTTTCATATTTTTCCTTGAAATTTTCACGTTTTTATTTCCTGAAAGCTCTGTGTGCTCTGATTATTTCTTGTAATAGCATTCTTGTTTCATAGGTATAGTTCTGTCTTTTTTGATCTGCAGATTTTAAAGTTTTGGTTTTTTAAAAAAGTTTTTTGCTCCCTGCTACATTTTTTTTTCTAAATCTCTTTTTTGTGGGTGTTTGTTTTTTGATATGGTTATTTGTTTTATTTGTCTGTTTTGCATGATACAAATTTTCTACAGTCTTGTTGATCTTTGTTCATATTTAAGAATGAGGCACTGAAAACCAACTGGAAGCTTTTCACTATGCTCAGGCGTCAATAATGGGTGGATTTCACTCCAGGATAATAAGAGAATAACAGCTTCTTTCACTGGAGAGACTCCTAAATGTCAGTATTTGTAGGTCATTCCTATCGGACTGCTTGATTTCCTTATAGAAAAAGCCTACAACGTTTATAAACCTTTTTTACAAGGAGTATTTTATAATGTTCCTTTATTTTCCCAAAATGAAGTTCCTATAAATTATAACCTACCTGCATATATAATCCCCCAAATCAATATAATGTCTTAACTATAATATAAAGTGGAAATAAAAGGAAACATACATTTCACGTGTAAATGCTCAGGCTAGGCTGCACTAGAAGACGTAATGAAATAATTCAGATCTTACACTTATCAGTAGGATCACTGAATGTGATAGCTTCAAAGAGAGACTCATGTTATGAATGATGTTGTTGTTAGTAATGTGATTTTACAAAACAGTGAACAAGTTTCCAACAACAAAAAAGTAAAATTGTCTCTCCTTTAAAATGGCTATTGTATTCCTGGGAAATGGAGGCTCAGATAATTATAAACAAAGTTTTTACTACATGATTATCTGATACATCATTTGAAATTATGCAGAACACAGGATAGATTTTTGTATTTTGGATTCTAGGATGTCTGATGTTCCTGGCCTAGGCCTGTAAATGCCAGTTGTGTCCCCCTCAATCATTATGATCACCAAAAATATCCCCACAAATTTCTACAATGTCTCTTGGGTATAGTACCACTTGCTTTGAGAACCAGTACTTTAGAAGAAAGGGAATATGCCACAATTGGCAAAACTGATGTGGTCAGAGTCAGTGGGAGAAGCAGAAGGGCAGCAATACCCAGAATAAGCACACAGGTTCACATCTGTCCTTTTATACATATGACATCATACAGAGCCCTTGGATAGTCCTCCCTAAACCTTCTCCCAAGATAGAGCTAATGAGACCACTAGATCTAGTTACTGTAGACTTAATTTACCTGTGATTTTTCTTTATTAATACCATTACCATCAAGTAAGCAAGCCACCAGGAAGGCAACTGGGAGTCGATTTCTACAGCCTTGACCCAGGCCTTTGCTCTGTTGGTCAGAGCAGCTACTTTGCTCTTCAGTTTTTCTCTCTCGTGATTGTAAGAAGGGAAGCTGTTTCATAGTTCTGCCTATTTTGTTTGTCAGTCTTTCTCTCCTCCACAACCCAAGGTCTGATTCCTCTTCAAGTTCTGGCTGGCCTTTTAAATTTTTCCTGGATTTTCCAATTTATAATGCCTTTCTTTCATCATATATGGTAGATTTCTTCTCTGAATTGGCCACCCTCACCCTCGATCAGTACTTTCCATCTCCTAGGTATACCAAGAAAGTAAAAGAAAAAGGGGAATCCTATGGTTGATAATTCTGACATAAGGGGAATCAAGGTGAAATTGTATTAGCTAGGGTAAGTTACATTAGTTGCTATTAAAAACAACCCTAAAATCTTATTGACTTAGCACAAGAAAGGAGTAATTGTCTTTGCACGGAATCCAGTGTGGATATTCTTGGTCAGCGATATTCCTGGATGACTTTCCTCTAAGCAGTGACTTAGGGATACAAGCTATTTCATTTGTGTGGCTTTCCCACCTTGGAGTTCTTTGCTTTCCTACATGCAGATGGAAGAGGGAAAACGTGGAAGATCTTATGGGATATTGTAAGGCCAGGTCTGGAAGTGGTATATGATACTCTGTCCACATTCCTTGACCAGAACACAATTTAGCTCTATATTCAGAAAGGAGAAGACAGTTATTATTGCTACTAGTTAGCATTCTCTACCAGAATTATCACTTTCTCTCATTTAACAATATAAACTCAACAACAACAAATATCTATTGAACACCTGCTGGATACCAGTCACTCTGTTGATTCTTATGGTTGAGGAACTTGTAGTCTATTAATGGAGTTTAAACAGACAATTAAAAAACAGGACAATCAGGGGCCAGCCCTGTGGCTTAGCGGTGAAGTGCGTGCGCTCCGCTACTGGCGGCCCGGGTTCGGATCCCGGGTGTGCACTGATGCACTGCTTGTCCGGCCATGCTGAGGTGGCGTCCCACATACAGCAACTAGAAGGATGTGCAACTATGACATACACTATCTACTGGGGCTTTGGGGAGAAAAAGGGAAAAAAAGGAAGATTGGCAATAGATGTTAGCTCAGGGCTGATCTTCCTCAGCAAAAAGAGGAGGCTTGGCATGGATGTTAGCTCAGGGCTGATCTTCCTCGGAAAAAAACAAACAAACAGTACAATCAATACTCTGATAAAGGACTGTGAATGTTATGATAGCATAGATGAGGATACAACTGATCCAAATGACAACATTCAAAGGCGATAAGTGATGTGAATAAAGTACCTTTGAAAAACGTTTATGAATACTATGCTAAGATAAACTTCCAGACATAGATCCATCATTTAATAACATTAATGTCTGATATTACCACTTAGAGCTTTATTTTCCATAACTGTAGACTAGACTTAATAATATCTTCCTTGCTGACCTCACATAGTTTCTGTGGGCAGCAGATGAGATAATGAATGTGAATGAGCTGTGCACATGCTATGTAAATATAGACTAGAGAGGTAGTGTTATAGAGTGGAAAGAACCTTGGATTTGGTTGGATAAGACCTAAATGTTGGCAGCAGCTTTGCCTCTTATTAATTTTGTCTCTTTAGACTTGTGTGAGTCTGTTTCTTTATCTATAAGACCTGTGCTACTATTTTATAAGACAGATGTCATATGTAAACGCAATAATGTTTATACAAGTTCCTTGGAAATTGTAAATTCCTATTAAAATGTAAGGTGTTCTTAATCATTAATACTGTTTAATCATCTATGGTACTGGTTTTTGAGATTAGGACCAAAAATCTATCATATAGATTAATCTTGTTACATGAGATTTACCTTTTAACTAATGATGGTGGAAAAATGCACTTTGTTTTATTGTATGTCTGAATCTGTTTTCTAATGATTTGCATTGTGATGGGCTTCTGTTATACGAGCAGTTTAAGGTGTTGGGATATAAACTATGAGATGAAAGCACTACTTTTCTGAAACACTTTTGAAGATAAAGGTTTTTAGAAGTTAAATTGAAAATTATAAGTTTAATTTTAAGTGCTGTCCTTATATTAACATTTACTTTAGGGCCAGCCCTGTGGCTTAGCGGTTAAGTGCACGCGCTCGGCTACTGGCGGCCTGGGTTCGTATCCCAGGCGCGCACCGATGCACCGCTTCCCCGGCTGTGCTGAGGCCACGTCCCACATACAGCAACTAGAAGGATGTGCAGCTATGACATACAACTATCTACTGGGGCTTTGGGGGAAAAATAAATAAATAAAAAATTATAAAAAAAAAAAAACACAAAAAAAACCCCATTTACTTTATAGATACTAACCAGAGAATGCTAAAATGAGCATTCTCATTCCAAGGAAGAAATTTGTATTAATTTTCATGACGAGAGTCTTGGAAGGTGTCTTCCATGCTTTGTAGTTTCTCTTTTTGGTACTTTGCTTTAATCTCCCACCACCACCTTCCTCTCACCACCCTCATGTTTAAATCTTCAGTCAAAGAGCAGATTAGCATAAAAATATGTATGGCTTAATTCAGTGTAAGAATCACTTTAGTTTTGCTACTAATATTTGGTTTTGTCTATTCAAGCTTGATATTTCTTTGGTTTTAGGAAGGCTGGTTTCGGATAGCTGAAAATATGGGGTTTCAGTGCCTAAAGATCGAGAGCAAAGATCCCCGGCTGGATGGGATAGACTCGCTTTCTGGAACTGAAATCCCCCTGCACTACATCTGCAGATTGGCCACTCATGCCATCCACTTGGTGGTCTTTCATGAGAGGAGTGGCAACTACCTCTGGCATGGCCATCTGCGACTCAAAGGACACATTGACAGGAAATTTGTTCCTTTTCGAAAGTTACAATTTGGTCGTTATCCTGGAGCTTTCGATAGGTAAGTTCAGGATGTAAAGGGGAAATGTGAAACCTATATTATCCACTCATGAATTCTCCCTCTTTTTTACATTTAGCATTGAAACCTAATATATAATTTGCATAAATCAGTTTCAAAATGTAAATATTCAACGGGAAGAAACTCATGTACATGTACACCAGGAAATGTACATAAGGATGTTCATAGTAATGTTCTAATGCTCCCAAACAAAACATTGTCTATTCATACAGAGAAGTGTTGTAGAGCGGGGAGATGGGTGAGCTGGTACCCTGTGCAGCAGCATAGATGAATCCTACAATGTAGAGTGACAGAAGCAAGGCATAAAAGAACACAAATCTTATGGTTTATAAAAAGCTCAAACACAGGATAAAGTATGTTCATAGATATATACTTACATAGTAAAAGTGATCAAAATGTACAAACTTCCAGTATTAAGATAAATTCTGGGGGTGTAATGTACAGCATGGTGACTATAGGTAATATTACTGTATTTTATATTTGAAAGTTACTAAGAGAATAGTTCTTAAAAGTTCTCATCACAAGAAAAAATTTGCAACTATGTGAGTTGATGGATATTAACTAAACTTATTGTGGTAAGCATTTCACAGACATACATATATCAAATCATTATCTTGTACACCTTAAACTAATATAATGCTATATGTCAATTATATCTCAAAACTGGGGGAAAAAAGTGAAAAAAACCCAATATATATAATAATAATATAATACAGATATTAAAATCAAAAAGAGTAAAGAAGATGGACAACCAGAAATACAAAAGATTATAAGAGAATACTATGAAAAGTTATATGCCAACAAATTGGACAATCTGGAAGAAATGGATAAATTCTTAGAATCATACAACCTTCCAAAACTGGATTAAGAAGAAATAGGAAAAAAAAAAAAAAAAAAGAAGAAGAAATAGAGAATTTGAATAGACCAATCACCAGTAAGGAGATCGAAACAGCAATCAAAAACCTCCCCAAAAGTAAAAGTCCAGAACCAGATGGCTTCCCTGGTGAATTCTACCAAACATTCAAAGAAGACTTAATACCTTTCCTTCTCAAACTCTCCCAAAAAATTGAGGAGTGGGGGAAGCTCCCTAACTCATTCTACGAAGCTGACATTACCCTAATACCAAAACCAGGCCAGGACAACACAAAAAAAGAAAATTACAGGGCAATATCACTGATGAACATTGATGCAAAAATCCTCAACAAAATACTAGCAAATCACCTACAACAGTACATTAAAAAGATTATACCCCATGATCAGGTGGAATTTGTTCCAGGGATGCAGGGATGGTTCAACATTTGCAAATCAATCAATGTGATACACCACATTAATAAAATGAAGAATAAAAATCACATGATCATTTCAATAGATGCAGAGAAAGCATTTGACAAGATACAGCATCCATTTATGATAAAAACTGTGAACAAAACGGGTATAGAAGGAAAGTACCTCAACATAATAAAGGCCATATATGACAAACCCACAGCTAATATCATCCTCCATGGTGAAAAACTGAAAGCTATCCTTCTAAGAACAGGAACCAGATAAGGATGCCCACTCTCACCACTCCTATTTAACATAGTACTGGAAGTCCTTGCCCAATCAGGCAAGAAAAAGAAATAAAAGGGATCCAAATTGGAAAGGAAGAAGTGAAACTGTCACTATTTGCAAGTGACATGATTTTATATATAGAAAACCCTAAAGAATCCACCAAAAAACTTTTAGAAGTGATAAAAGTTGGTAAAGTTGCAGGATACAAAATCAACATACAAAAATCAGTTGCATTTCTATACACTAACAATGAAGTAGCAGAAAGAGAAGTTAAGACTACAATCCCATTTACAATTGCAACAAAAAGAATAAAATACCTGGGAATAAACTTAACCAAAGAGGTGAAATATCTGTACGCTGAAAACTATTAAAACATTGCTGAAAGAAATTGAAGAAGACACAAAGAAATGGAAAGATATTCCATGCTCTTGGATTGGAAGAATTAACATAGTTAAGATGTCCATACTTCCGAAACCAATGTATAGATTCAATGCA